ATTAAATAATTTTCTGGTAATATTTTGGTAATGACTCCTAAATACCCTATTAAATAATCAAAGCCCTTGTTCGTGGCTAGCATGCATCAACCATTATGGGTCCGTTTTTTTAGGGCTTGAATTATTTATATGGAACATATATTATTATTATTTTTTAAATTATTTATATATGAATTTTGTAAAGAGATAAAATGACATTTGCGTAACTTTTATGAATCAAATATACACTATGCTAACTAATATTTTATTAATTATAAATTATATTTAGTTAATTAAAAAAAATTAAATTGATTAATGATCTATAAACATAGACACGTATTTCTAAATTGAGAAGATGAAATTATATATATATATATATTTTTTAATTTAACCATTGTAAAAATGAGTGATACGTTATTATCCAGCCAATTATGACGTCATAAAGGGGTAAGGAGCCACCAAATGAATACAAATGAATAATGAAAACTGAATTATATAGTTGGCAGAGAGGACAAGCATATAATAAGAAAAAAGTGTGACAATATTATTTATCAAAGTTAGGAGAAGACTAACATTCAGGAAAGGAAACAAATCTGAGTTCACATTAATATTTGGATTCTTTCCTTTCATTTTGGAAATTACTCAATTTGGGTCTTAAAACTTACGTATATGAATGTACGCATCGTCCTTTCGATTTGTTTTAATTTATCGAAAACAACAAATTACTCTTTTATAAGAATGTAGAAACGTCTATTTAATAGACGTGTTTTAAAACTATGATGCTGATAGTGATACATAATGGACAAAAGTGGACAATATTTGTTACCAATTGTATCAAAGTCAGTCATCATGTGGGAAGCATTTTGAAAACTTATCCTTAATAGATACGTTTTGAAACTGTAAGGTTGACAACAATACGTAACGGGTCAAAACAAACAATATCTGCTAGTAGTGGACTTTGGGCTGTTATAAATGGTATCATAGGTCATTATCCAGTAGGAAACATTTCTTATAAGAGTGTAAAAACATCTCCCTAGTAGACGTGTTTTGAAATTATGAGGCTGACGATAATACATAATGACTCGAAAATATACAATATTTGTTAGGAGTGGTTTTGAGGCGATTACAAATGGTATTAGAGTCAATCATTAGGCGAGAAACATCCCGAAAATCTCTCCCTAATAGAAGCGTTTTAAAATTGTGAGTCTGACGTTGACATAGGCCAAAACAAACAATATTTATTAGCAATAGACTTGAATTGTTACAAATTGACTCTTCTAAATTCTAATATTCCTCTCGAAAAATCAAATCAGTAAAGGATTAAGAAATATTATTTGAAACATAATCTACGAATAACGATAGTTCGATCGATAATGAGAGCTAATCAAAACAATAATTCGAGCTCGTCGTGGCTTACCGAACCCTAACCGGGTGCCGAAAACATGGAAAAGGCCATTCCTTTCATGTTTTTGTGAGTTGGTATTTAAGGGAAGTTGACAAGTTTATAACCATCCCTTTCAATGGAGGGCATAGCTATGTGAAAGTGATGGTTTCTTTTACCTCATTATTGTACCCTTTATTTATTATTTATTTATTTATTTATTTTTATTTTGCTTTTCACTTTCAAAATTTTTATCACTTTCCTAGCCTTTCCTTTTTCTAGATTTACTGACTGAGATTTGGGATGGTCCTTACACAACCAAGGAATTATATATATATATATATATATATATATATCAAGTATATAAAATATATTAATTTCATAATATTAATTATGAACTTAATATATATATATATATATTAAAGTTAATTAGATAATAGACACATTAAACTCATCAATTACCGTGCTCCTTTTTTAAACTCCTTCCCATAATAAAATAAAATATTAAATTATAATACAAATTTATGAAAAAAAATTAATTAATTGGCATATTTATATTACATAATTAATTAATTAATTATTAATAAAGTAAAGCAATTAAGATTACATTTTACATTAATTAGAAAGTAATTAATGCAGAATTTCTCTCTCCTCCCTCCTAAAATTAATTAAAATAGCATTAGAATAGTCAAATATAAACTAAGTATTTATTTGAAAGCTTATAAAATAAAATTACGTCTAAAAAATGTTATTTTATTTTAATTATTATTTTCTTCACGTCTTATGAATTATTAAAATATATACTTGACTTGGATTGTTATGGAAGAATATATTATTGTATGGTTTTTATTATAAAGTGTGATGCACGTAATATATTTTAATGCGACTATAAGATTATATGTTTGTGGTTATGTAATTAATAAATTCTAACAGAATAATAATGTAAATTCCCTTGTATTGCAAGCAAATATTAACCACCTTACAATTATTTGAATTTATTATTTTTTAATAAATTGGTATGGATAATTAAATATAAAAAATAAAAAAAAAAGTAAAGATGGTGGGAAAGGAACAAAAAGGGGCAGCGTCGACAAATGATTAATAAATGCATCGCATTGAGAGCCCATTCAAAATTAGGAGACAGAAGAACAGAGGAAGAAGCCAAAAGTGGTCAGAAAAAAATGTGAAGGATTTAAATCCTCACTCTCTCTACCTCACAATTCACAATAAAAAAAAATAAAAAAATTAATTTAATTTTTCTATCTCATCATACAAACTTCATAATTAATTTTATATTTTGTAAATTTTTTTAATAAAATAAATTAAAAAACTCAGGTTGATCGGTAGAATAGATTTCACTCTTGGAATCATGGAGTAGGTAATGTGACTAATGTCGTAGAAATTTATTATTGTTCTATTGGGTGGGATTGTGTCATCCAGAAAGAGGGCATCAAGTGATTCTCTCTTTTGTTTTCGCTTTGAAAGTCTCGACCGAGACTCTCGCGAAAGAGATGGTCTGAATCAATTTCAGCAATTCAGAATCAGAAAGAAATCCGTTTTGTGAAACATCGAAAAGATCCATTTAGTAAGAGCTCAACGGGACCTACCCCTTTTTCTGATTCGAGGGGGATCCTGGTGAGTTATTACGCTTTCATGTCTACAACTCAGTTCATCCGATTATTACAGAGATGAACCTAATCCAGAATATGAACCATAAAAGAAAATACCGACTAAACAAACCGATCACAGGAATACCGGAATGTAAAGAAATGTATGAATTATCATGTACTAAATTTAAATTTTGAACCTGAGTAGTTTACACTAGAATTATAATTAATATATTATTTATTGAAATATCTATAAATGAACCCCTATTTAATTTTTTTTAATTTGTACTGTAAAAATAAAAAAATAATTAAAATAAATTCTCCTCGAACTTAAAAACTTTTGGAATAGTAAGTTATCGGATTCAAACTATAAAAATTAAATTGGATTAAATATTTAAAAATAAATAAATAAATAAATATAATAATAATAATAATAATATTATAAGCTTTATATATATATTTGTGTATTTATTTGTGGCCAGAATATTGAGCAAGCTACAATTGCATCCATCACCACAATAATTTAACAGTGCCCATTTTAACCTAATGCTACTTTCTCAAATCTCAATTCCCAACACAAATATTTTATTTGAAAAAATATATTAGTTATTTTAAAATTTTAAATAATATCATTATATTAAAATAAAAAATATATTGTTTAAAAAATACTCAAACGAGATGAAAAAATATCGGTTAACTTTTTTAAAAATTTATAAATAAATATAAACAATAATATTTTTTTAATTAAAAATATTATTAAAATTTTAATAAAATTTTTTGAAAAAGTGTTTATTTGCAGTTTGATCCCTCCAATAATAGATGATCACATGCAAAGTAAGTACAATTTTATTTTGTCTCCTTTATTCATCCAATTTTACTGTTTCGTTTAATTAGTACGAACTATAATTTAGGAAAAAAATATATATTCAAAATATGAGTTACTATTTTTGTTTTTTGTTTTTTTTAATTAAGTTTTTTGGAGTTGTTTGGTTGGTAAGTGTTTGGGATATATGGGTATTTAAAGCTTTTGCTACAACAAATCTCTAATTTTCCATTAAAATTTAAAATTATTTAGTATAAATTTTAAATAAGAAGTAATTATTTTTTTTGTTTATTTTTGAGATAGTGATATAAATAATATTTATAAGTTAATGTTGGTCGTTTAACACTTAATCTTATACTAAATTAATAAAAACCTTCGTAGACTTTATATTTTGTCTTAAAAATATTCTTAAACTTTTAAAAGTTTCAATAATATTCTTAAATTTTAAATAAAAACGTCAAAAACACTTTTAAACATTTTTAAAAATTTCAAAATATTTTAACGTTGTTAAATACCAAAAAGTTAGATATAGTTATAATTTTATTTAATTAAAAATAATAAAAGTTTATAAGAATTTAACCCAATTGAATTAAAGATCCGAATTATTTTAATACATTGTCATGAAACAATTAATTGATATTGTTATTTTTAAATTCAATCCTATTTTCGTATAATTTAATTAATTTTATGAATTTTCTTTCAATAAAATTCAATAATTATGGATTAAAGAGTCTAATAATTTATTTAGGTTTTAAATTTATTGGGCACTAATTTCCAGAAATGTTATTTTGATATATATATTTATATAATTTCCACAAATGAAATGAAATTCTCCTTTTGAACCTTTCCCTTTTATATATTTTTTTTATACCATTTTTATTAAATTTAAATACCATTTTCATCCTAAACTTCTAATTTCACTAATAATAATATTATTTTTTAAAATCTCTAATATATGTAATTTGAAATAAATTATATAATAATAGATGAAAAAGTTAAGAATAGGGGTAATTTAATTAAAAAGGGAAATAGTTAGGGTATAAAAAGAAAGAAAAATAAATGTAATAATTATTAATAGGAAAAGTAACATTTATTATATTTATTTATTGCAATAAACCCACTGTTCATAAGCTGCCAAAGGTGGGGCCTCTTCTCTCCTAAATAATCAGAGGCAGTATCAGAAATTCTGAAGAGAAAGATACTATTTTACTCTCTCTCTGCCCTGCCGTTCTCTCTCCGCCCACCGCTCCGGACCACAACCTAGGTTTTTCTTACTGTTTAAGCGTTGATCTCTTTTGCATTCTTCATAATCCTCTCACCCACCTCCATTCCGCCGTTTTCGCTCACTGTCTCTCAGGTAAAATCTGTGTCTTATCTCATCTTCTTCTTCTTCCCCTTTCTTTTGCTCATTTTCCTGTTTGATTTCGTTTCCTCTGGAGCTCAATCTCCGCTTGGTGCTATCTCTTATTCGTTGAGTTAATTTGGTTGTTTTATTGATCTAGAATGTCGTTTCGAGTAGAATGATTTTACTATCGAATCTTAGATGTATCTGTAAATCGTCGAGATAGGATTTTCGTGGTTTCAAGTTTGAATGATAGCTTTGTGGTTTTTTTCGATCCAGTTGTTTCTGTAAGCGATTTATGTTTCGTTTTCTGTAGTTGTGATTGATTTCTCTCCTTGATGTTTTCTAAATCTTGTGGTTCTTGATCTTAGTGATTGTCTGGGCATGTGGTGTGTAGCAATAATAGATGCTAATCATGAAGTTTATAAACTTTCTTTATCTCTCTTCTCTTTATGTTTCCTTTGAGATTTATTATTCGTTGGTGTAGTTTGTTCTGTTTGAGTGTGTTTCTTCTTCTTCCAAATGTTGAGAGCGGATTGAGTTATCTTCAACCAATGGGATAACAATGGTAACTCCCAACATTGATATCTGTTTTCAAGATAATAGGGTTTATGAAATCATCATACTTGCAAATGTGTTGCTTATGAAAACGACATGAAAGATGACTATTAATTTGGAAACTATGCTGTTCCTTTCCAAATATGCCAACAGCAAATAAGAAAGTAAACATTGATGAGAGATATACATTTGGGTTAAGCTGTTGAGCTCTTAGCCTGTTTTAATGTATGGTGAATTAGCTTATATCTTGAAGTTTTCGTGACGATTTCGTATTCTGAGTGTTTCAGGTTATGGGGCGCGAAAGAGGGGATTGCCAATGTGCTAGTGATGCAAAGAATAGCACATGAGCGTGAGAGTTCGGTTTCTAGATTTTTAAATCATTTGTATGTAAATTGAAATGTCGGAAATGAATTAGCATTGTGGATCAATAAACTACACCATTGTTAAGATCTGTGGAGCTGCTATCTACGGGCTTTGGTATTGAGAGCAAAGGTAGTAATGGGATCTAATACATGTGAAATTGTTGAAGCAAGGGAAGAAATTAAGGCTGTTCAAAGTAAGGTAGAATCTCGTCATTCGGATTTTGTATCTCACCGAGATCGGAAACTTTCTGCATTGAAAATTGGATTCAAGGGATTTTTAGAGGATGATATCAATCAGCTTTTTGAGTCGATTAGTATTAAAAATGCATCCAAGAGCTTAGGTCATTCACAAGTAGATGTAAATGCGCTGAGAAAAAGTACGCTAAAGAAGCCAATAAGTGTTGGCATGCCTTGCTCGCCAGGTATTGGTACTTCTGATTCTGGTAGTTTGAAGCAGGCACTCAGGGAACTATGCCTTTCAAAGGCGTCTGAGATGGCTGCTATGAAAAGATCATCAAAACCAGCTACCTTGTCAAGACTCTCGGAAGCTGGCCGGATCAAGACATTGTACAATTCAGTTATGGTTGAAGCCACTGAGTCAGGCTCTTCTTCAGATAACAGTAAGGGGGGGCGTGTGGTTGAAATATCCCTGGTTCCAGAGGGCAAAAAAAAGAACGTTGAGCAGAGACTTGAGAATGTCCAAGCATCTGCTGTTAAATCACCAGCTGAAAGTTCTCATTCTTCTCCTCAGTTCACGGTTACGAAAACACAAAGTTCTATGGAGGTTGGTACTCTCGAACAAAACGTCAATACCACTCTGTCAAGGAAAGTTGGACCTCAAACATTAAAGGCAGAGCTGGAGAAGGAAGAGGAGTCCATTACCCCACCATCTGTATCTTCTTGTACGATTAAGAAGGTATTAGAGAAGGAGAAGAAGATTCTTGTCTCGAGCAGGGTAGGAAATAAAGTGTCATCATCCAAGGCTGGACGGAAAGGTCGGCTGCAAACTGCATCTTCATCTAAGTTGGTTAGTGGCAATAAGGTAAGCAAGTTATCTAGAAGTAATTCCCGTTCGATCAAACCAGTTATTCGGAACAAGGGGCTGGTTAAAAAGAAAGTCAAACAGGATTTGAGTTCTCCAACATGTAGTTCAAGCACATACAATGCAGTAAATGGCGATACGGATCCTAGTAAAAAGAAGTTGATATGTGAGAGGTGCCACTGCGCATTGAACAGTGCAGCTAAAGACTCGAAGAAGGGCTCTGCTTCCCAGTTTAGTGCTCTTGGTACTGATGTAAATATGGCTAGTTCAAAATCTGGTGCTAACAAATCAGGCATCACGGATGGCAAGGCTTCTGATGTTCGAGTAAAAAAAAATACAAGGGTACGAGATAAGGGTGAGTTTTCTCAAAGCTCAAAAAGTAGTCAAGGCGAGTACAGTAGCAGTACTACGAGTATTATAAGTGATGACTGCAATGGGCATGGATCGAGTAATGGTAACAGACCTCATATGTCGAAAGATGTAAGGTGGGAAGCCATACGTCACTCACAATTGCAGCATGGGGTTCTCAGCTTGAGGCATTTCAATCTCTTAAAGAAGCTTGGTTGTGGGGACATTGGAACGGTGTATCTTGCCGAGCTAACTGGTACTAATTGCCTATTTGCCATTAAGGTCATGGACAACGAGTTTCTAGCAAGACGGAAGAAAATGCCGAGAGCGCAAACCGAGAGAGAAATACTGAGAATGCTAGATCATCCATTCCTCCCAACACTTTATGTTCAATTTACTTCAGATAATCTATCATGTCTTGTCATGGAATATTGTCCTGGTGGAGATCTTCATGTTCTGCGGCAGAAGCAGCTAGGCCGAGTTTTTCCCGAGCCTGCAGCAAGGTAAAAGTTTTAGCTAGTTGTTTTCACCTTCTGCATCTTGTTTGCTCACGTTAAATAGATGCAAAAAGCACCGAACATCGCATGAAAAGTACGTAAAATCTGAGGCGCATGCTACTCATATATACTTGATCTATATTTTGTTAAGCACAAACATGCAATTTCAAGCCGATTTGATCAAATTGATATCTATACTCTCGATCCCTTCGAATGCCATATTTTATGACAATGTCAATAGCACAATCTTGGTAATGGCACACTCTCGATTCCCTCGAATGCCATAGTCTATTTATGATAACTTGTTGAATCTTGTATCTGGTTCGGCTCAAGCAGTCGTGCATTTCTTGTTGAACTCGTCCTAAAACTGCTTCGATACTGTTTTGCAGATTTTATGTTGCTGAGGTCCTCCTTGCATTGGAGTACTTGCACATGCTTGGAGTTATTTATCGAGATTTAAAACCCGAGAACATTCTTGTCAGAGAAGATGGTCACATAATGCTCACCGACTTCGACCTGTCGCTTAGGTGCACGGTCTGTCCAACACTCCTGAAGTCATCATCCTCCGACTCAGACTTGGCGAAGACATCAGGTCCATGTACAGATTCTAGTTGTGCTGAGCCTTTTTGCCTTGAACCATCATGCCAAGTCCCATGCTTCAGCCCAAGGTTCTTACCAGCTGCTTCCAAAACAAGGAAGTCCAAACCCGACCTCACAACTCAGTTCAGGTCATTGCCCCAGCTCGTTGCTGAACCCACCGATGCACGATCGAATTCCTTCGTTGGCACTCACGAGTATTTGGCACCGGAGATCATCAAAGGAGAGGGTCATGGCGCTGCAGTCGATTGGTGGACGTTTGGTGTTTTTCTCTATGAACTTCTATATGGTAGAACCCCTTTCAAGGGATCCAACAACGAAGAGACATTAGCCAATGTAGTACTGCAGAGCCTCAGTTTTCCCGACAGCCCGATCGTTAGTTTCCAAGCAAGGGATCTTATCCGAGGGCTGTTAGTGAAGGAGCCTGAAAGTCGATTCGGGACGGAAAAAGGAGCGGCCGAAATCAAACAGCACCCGTTCTTCGAGGGGCTAAACTGGGCGTTGATCCGTTGTGCAATTCCTCCAGAAGTCCCGGAGGTATGTGACATGGAAATTCCAAGCATGATTTCTCAACAAAACAAGTTCAGGTATTTGGAAAACAAGTCGACTGGAGAGCACTTGGAGTTCGAATTGTTCTAGCAAAAAGGAAAGCATCAACCATGGAAAGAGACAGTCGCCATGGCTGGTAAAGCCCTTTATTCCAACATCTTGTTCTTGCTGTAATTAATATCGGTAGCGTAATGTAAATGTGATCGAGAATATTGTATCAAGGCTTCACCATTTTCATGGCTTGGAAGGTCTCTGGAGTTGGATTTTATATATCAATTTGATACCAGAAAAATGATGAATTGCCTCGTCCTTTCAGCAAATGGGAGTAATGACCAATGGGGAATTTTCTTTTTGACCAAAAAATGATTGGCAACCTGATATAGAATAAGTGGGGCCTAACAATTACGTTGGTTTTGGATTTGGATGATAATTGTTAGTACTTCATTTACAAAATATTATCTAAAAAGTTTCCTTATTATTTTCTATTTTGTTAGAAACTTTCAAAACTTTCAAATGATGAGTACTTGTGACTTTTTTTTTCTTTCAAATTTAAAAGTGTTTTTTTTTTATAATTTATAATTATTTTTTTTAAAGTATACTATCTGTTTTTTAATTTTTTGGCAAGGGTATAAGGTATTTTTTAGGAGTATTTTTTTAGAGGTGGTATCAATGGTAAGATTATTTTTTAACTTTTTTTTTTTTAATTTTAAAAAATTTAAATATATTTTTGAAGTTTTTAAAAAAGTTTGAAGTATTTATAAATTTTTTACAAATTCAAGCAAAATGTAAAGTTAAAGAGGATGTTTTTGAAAGAAATATTAACCATTTTATAACAGATGTTTTTTTTTTAAAAAAAAGTTCAATGGTATATATTTTTAATTTTAATTTTAATTTTAATTTTTTTTTTTTTTTTTTTGTTGAAGTTTAAAGGGTATTTTGAAGAGAATTTCAAAATTCTCTCTGTTTTTCTCTCTACCTCAGGCTCAGATTCCTCTCGTTTGCATTTCTCTCGCCTCCGCTCCGCTCCGATTCGCGGTTTGTCCCTTTCCTCTCTGACGGTCTCAATATCTTGCCGTCCGGAGTCTTCAATCACCCACCGGGCAAGGATATTTCCCAGGTAACTCCCCCTTTCTTTCTCTGTTTGGTCAGCCCCTTTGTCTTCGGGTTTTTGGATTTCTGGGGTTTGTGTATCGATATGTGTAGGAGCAGTATATCTATCGATAGAAGTAAAACGAAAAGGAGAGTCCGATTGAAGTATAAGCTGGACATCATACTGTCTTGTAAATACATGGCAGTCCGATTAAACGTTCTTAGTGAATTTGTTTTTCTATACTCAATTAGCTTCCGTGCCTGTCTTATTGTTTGGAAGAATTTTTACTTGATTATCGTCTTTTGTTGACAAATTTGCAGCAAAAATGCCCAAGATTAAGACAAACCGTGTCAAGTATCCGGAGGGATGGGAGCTAATTGAACCAACTCTCAGAGAATTGCAAGCTAAGATGAGAGAAGGTCTCTCTATCTTTCATTACCATGTGTTTGTTAATATTTTCGTTGTTCTTCATTAGGGTTTATGAATCTAATGCTGGTTTACTCTTTTGATGATTGCAGCTGAGAATGATCCACATGATGGTAAGAGAAAATGTGAGACATTGTGGCCTATATTCAAAATAGCGCATCAGAAAAGCCGCTATATCTTTGATCTCTATCATCGAAGGAAGGAGATATCCAAAGAATTGTTTGAATTCTGTTTGGACCAAGGCTATGCTGATCGTAACTTAATTGCAAAATGGAAGAAGGTTTGTTTTTTGCCTCTCTCATGTTTTCTGTAAAATGTTTAACAGCTTGACATGGTATGAATCTTGTTCATTTGCTTGAGAGTTAGTGTCTACGTAGGCCAAGTGTTTGAAGTTACGTCTAGGGATGAAATGAAATTTGTTGGTTGGTTTATTAAAAGGAAGTCGCATCTAGGGACTTATACAGAATATTCTGACAGCTTGGTGGTTTTAGATAAGTTGTATGAAGTAACCAAATAACACTCGAGCCGTATTTTTTGGGAAGAAGTGTTGTAAGTTAGATCAGTATCTTTTAAAGTATAAGATGCATTGTGGTGCATATAGTCTTCTAGAATGTAAGACAACATAGTATTGTTGTATGGGATGCTCGAAGTTGAAGAAATGGGGTTTAAGTGAGATCCCACGTCGGTTGGAGAGGGGAATGAAACATTCTTTATAAAAGTGTGGAAATTTCTCCCTAGCAAACGTGTTTAAAAATTGCGAGGTTGACGGTGATACGTAACGGGCCGAAGCGGACAATTCTGCTAGTGGTGGGTTTGAGCTGTTACGAATGGTATCAGAGCTAGGCACCGAGTAGTGTGCCAGCAAGGATGTTGAACCCCGAAGGGGGAGGGTGGATTGTGAGATTCCATATCGATTGGAGAGGGGAATGAATGCCAGAGAGGATGGTGAGCCCTGAAAGGGGGTGAATTGTGAGATCTCACATCGGTTGGAGGGGTACGAAACATTCTTTATAAGGGTGTGGAAACCTTTCTCTAGCAGACGCGTTTTAAAATTGTGAGGTTGATTGTGATATGTAATAGGCCGAAGCGGATAACTATCTGCTAGCGATAGGCTCAGGTTAAGAAACCTTTTTGGGGAAATAGGCATCCTATCCAAAAATTTGAAAACCCGGGGTCTTTTCCCCATTAATTGAGAAAAATAGAGGGCAGTACACGGTACAAGAAAAAGCAAGGCACACAGCACTGCACCTAGGTGCCTTTTTCAAAAGAATGGTTGGGATGAGCGTAACATACTTAACAGTTTATATGATTTTGAATCGATCGGTGTCAGTAGTAGTCTCATATCAAGTACTTGCAGTGATGTACTTTACCTTTCTCAAATCTTCGAACACAAGGGACGGTTCATATATGTAAGCCTTGATGAAGTGTACTGTTGTCATCTTGGTCCTCTTTCTTTTCTTGGAACTACTCAAACCTAGTTTGGTTCTGTTGTGCAGCCTGGTTATGAACGTTTGTGTTGTCTAAGATGCATACAACCTCGAGATCATAATTTTGCGACGACGTGCGTGTGCCGGGTTCCCAAGCACCTAAGGGAGGAGAAGGTTATCGAGTGTGTGCATTGCGGTTGCAGGGGCTGTGCGAGTGGCGATTGAGTTCTTCTCCTCTTAGTTTGTCTCTCTGATTATAACAACTACACACGCTTTGACACTGTTTATACACTAGAGTTGTACTAATTTGAACATTTGCACTATGTAATTGCTCCGTTCATACTCATTAGTCATTGGGTTGCCATTATCTTGGGAAGTTTGTTCATGAAAAGGTTGATTTTCCCAAAACGCACGTAGTGTACTTCTGATAATTTTTTTAAAAATGAAGCATTAATCTATATTTATTTATTTTTTAATGGTATTTACATGGGTGGTAATCTAGTTGATATTGATTGCTTTGACTCATTATGTACTGTCATCATCTTCACTAGGAGAGATTTTACAGTCTTATAAAGAATGTTTCGTTTTTCTCTCCCGTCGATGTGTGATCTCACAATCCATTTCTTTTGGGATCTAGCATTTTCGTTGGCATTGGTTCTCATGCTCAATTAAGGATATTGTCTAGTTCCCTTCTCGGTTAAGATATTGTCTGGTTCTCTTTTCGATTAGATTAGTGATGATAGGATAACTTGAGAAGTTCTTTTTGAAATACGAAGACAGTAAAATATAAATATAAGAAATGCATTTTCAACGATCCCAACATGCCAACATGTGCCAACTTTATGTGACGTCATTTTAAGTTAACTCATGACGGAGACAAATCCGAGAAAAAGTATAAAAGGAAAAACAAAAACTATGACATCAAAATTACCAAAATTGTAACTTTTGTGACGTTAGTTAACATCAGGAGCAGTGTATTGATTGTAATATGACATAAATATGGTCCTGAAATGAAATAGAATAGCAACAAAAAAAAAAAAAAAAAAAAAAAAAAAAAAAAAAAAAAAAAAAAAAAAAGGGGTAGAAAGGCATAGGGAAAAGCCTTATATTGTGTTGGGTGATTCAAAATGGAAGTAAAGAGAGTGACAAAAACAAGACAAAGAATCAGACAGAATCCGAGGAATTTTTATGCTTTTTTACTCAGCTTTGACCATGTTTGAGCCCACCTCTCTCTCTCTCTCTCTCTCTCTCATTTTACACTCCCACTTCAACTTCAGTACTCTTTGCATGGTTTTGAGTGGAATTTAATTTGTTGCCTTTTTCTTTTTTTGGTCAATTTTCTTATAATTTCATAATCATTCATTTCTCTCCTTCTTTTCACCTCATACTTCATAAATCTTCTAATAAACTTCTAACAGATCATCATCAATAATGGGTAAACCTTCCAATTTTGAAATTTAAAAAACGAAAGTTTAGTACGAGTATTTTTTCAAAACNGCCAACGACTAAGCACATGAAGTTGACTTCCAACATTCATAGGATAAGATTTAATATGAACCATTTAAAAATAAATATATTAAAATAGATGTTCGAATTTTTTATTTTTATTGTGTCATGATCATGTTTGTGGGACGTTTTTACATTTAAATGCGAGTGATTCTAATAATAGAATGATCACGAAAAAATTCAAAAAAGTTAAAAGTTATCACTCATATGAACAACGTAAACGTTCGTTCTCAGTAGCTCAATTCTATAAATTCAGAGTTATTTAAGGAATGAATTAAATGTTAATAGAAATTGGTAGCGTTTAATTTTTGGCCCCAAAAAGGCCGTTTTCGGGAGGTAATCCAAGGGTCAGAATTTGAAGATGGGGAAGAACCGATTATAAAAAGAACGAAAAGGAAAGAAAAATGAGCCCATGAAAGGAAAGGGAAGGGAGTTCATAGTTCATTCATACAACCAACAAAGAGACAAGAACGCTTCCTCTGAAAAAATCGAGAGAAGAAGTTGAAGATGCAGCAGGCGGAGCAAAATCCACAGCACCAGCAGCTTCAATTGATGTTACAGAATTCTGGAAATTTTAGTTTCAGTAGCAAAGACGATGAAGAGATGTCCAAATCGGCGCTTTCGGCTTTCAGGGAGAAGGAAGAGGAGATCGAGCGGATGAGGGCCGAAGTTCAGCAGAAACTTCAAGCTCGACTCGGCCGTGTCGAGGAAGAAAACAGGCGTTTGGCTTCCATTCGAGAGGTCTTCTCTTTCCTTACACATAAACCCTAACTAATTAACTCTTCGTTTTTCTTTTCTCTGTTTCATCTCTGCAATAACTGCTATCAGTTTCTAATTTCTTTCCGGAATTCTTTTC